CAGGCTGCACCACAGGGGCGATGGCGGTGTCCCTCGCTCAGCCCACTGATGTGGTAAAAGTCAGGTTCCAGGCTCAGGTCCGCCTCCCTGAGAGCGGCTCTGTGATGAGGTACAGCAGCACAATTGATGCCTACAAGACCATTGCCAGGAATGAGGGTGTTAAAGGGCTCTGGAAAGGTAAATAAAAATGGAAAAATAAATACTGACATATCTAATTTTACTGTACGACAGGTGCTACTATTCCAAAGTCAGTAATAATCTCTAAATGGTAAGCAGCTGTGTAGTGATTTTTAAGTAAGTACATTTTAGAAATTAAGCCATGACTTACTTGGCTTTACTTATTTTTATTAAATGTACAATTTAAATATGTTAATAATACCCATTCTTAAAGGGGAACTTACACATCAAAGTCTGATCGCCGGTCTTGCAGAGTACTACTTCTTTATGTGACTAAATTGTTAAAAAGCGATAAATTGCCTCAAGTGATGTCACTTGAATCAGCAATGGTTGGGGCTGAAGACTACAAGTAGGAGTGTGGAGTCAGAGAGAAGTGAGGTTACAAGATTTCAGTATCCCGCTCCTCATTTCTGACTGAGGTTCGAGGGTACATTAGCTGCTACTATCATAACAGCTGAATCTCCGACCTAAAGCAGTAGGCAGTTTGTCTCAGAAGCATGTTTTGTCATATTAGTTGAAATTCCCTTTATATCCCTACAGCATTCAATAAATCAAATCCTCTGACACTAAAATGAACAAAAATCTGGTAACTCTGGCTGTCACAGAACTGTAGCCTAATAAGCATAGCCTACCTGTCTGTCTACCTACCTGTCTATCTCTACCACACAGGAGGGAGGCCTGACTGGAGGTGACGGGATTATTTTTCAGTTGGATGCTTTCAAAATCTAGCTGTCTCTTACTAGTTTCTCCAATTGCTTAACTTAGCTTTAACTGTGGGTAGTTAGAGCTGCATTGTGGGTAATTTAGGCACTAGATTTTGACAATAGAGAAGTACATAAATCAGTACATAGAATAAAAAAAATGATATCTCTGATTTTGCTGCATCAATTTTGATTGACTCACAATGGTCTATCTTATGTTTCAGGAGTGCAGTGCCAAATCAGTGGAGTTCTTCAGGTTGAATTTTATTGTTGTCTTTTCAGGTGTACTGCCAAATATAACTCGTAATGCCGTCGTAAACTGCTCCGAGCTGGTGACCTATGACATCATCAAAGAGTTCATCCTGAAGTACGACCTGATGACAGGCAAGTGCAAACACCTCACATATAAGTCAACATTGTCTTCTTTGTGGTCTTTATACACTGAACAAAATTATAAACACAACACTTGCTTCCATTCATCACGAGCTGAACTCAAAGATCTAAGACTTTCTCTATGTACACAAAAGGCCTATTTCTCTAAAATATTGTTCACAAATCTTTCAAAATCTGTGTTAGTGAGCACTTCTCCTAAAATGTGCAGTTCCATCACACAACACAATGCCACAGATGTATCTGACAGAAATAGGCCTTATGTGTACATAGAGAAAGTCTTAGATCTTTGAGTTCAGCTCATGATGAATGGAGGCAAAAATAAGTGTTGCATTTATAATTTTGTTCAGTATAATAACCAAAGCAAATGTTTTATTTCCAACAGACAACATGCCGTGTCACTTCACAGCAGCCTTCGCAGCAGGTTTCTGCACCACCATCGTAGCGTCTCCAGTGGATGTGGTAAAAACGCGCTTCATGAATTCAGTGCCTGGACAGTACAGCGGTGCTACTAACTGTGCCTTAACCATGCTGATTAAAGAGGGGTCCACATCTTTCTATAAAGGGTATGTAGTCTAGTTAGCTTATAAGTAAGCATGTCAGAATCACTAAAACGAAAATCACATTTCTGATTCTTTCTACAGATTTATCCCCTCGTTTCTTCGTCTGGTTTCCTGGAACATTGTGATGTTTGTGAGCTACGAGCAGATTAAGAGAGCTGTGATAGGTTGTCAGCAGTTCTGGGAGTCTCCGCTCTGACCTGTTTAACAGCTGGTTTGGTCCCGGAGTGGTGTTACTGGTGTGGCAAAGCCAACTGTCTGTCAACTGTGTGGTTATACCTGCTGCTGGGCCAGATTTTTCTTCCTCAGGGATTAAACTGCATGTGCATCTTATTAAAGAGGCGTCACTCAAAAGAAAAACAGTAGGGATGATTAATGTAGAATTTTTGCTGATGTACGCACAGAAGGCCTTTTTCAGGACATTTTGACATGTCACAGTAAGAAAATCACAGGTGTAAACAGTAAAATTGGTGGCTGAATTCCATTTGGCTGCTGCAGTTTCAGGCTCCTGGTATTGAACAGGGCCATTGTTAATTTTATTATTGCTTTTCTTACTATGACATGTCAAAATATCTGTCTCAAAAAGGCCTATTTACCAAGTAAAATCTTGTGTGGATGGGGATGTGAGTTATTTACAGGGCCGTTGTAAAGCACAGTAACTTATTGGCTTTGTAGATTTTTTAGTGTCTTGGTTGGGTTTTATATTTCATGTCAGGTTTCAGGTGAATCTCCTCTTTTTTGATCGTGAAAAAATGCAGTCCTTCACATGAATTTTTAGGTTGCAATTAACTGTCACTTTCAAATGTCAGAATAAATTGTGAAAAATGTCTATCCCCATTTCATCAGATCTCTTGTTTGGTCTGACTAACACTCCTATGACTGGGGAACTATTTCTTTCTGTCAGTCTTATCCAAGGGGGTAAGCCAGAGATCGGACAGTGAAGCCAACCAAAGCCTGCATGGAGGGATCCATGTAGGCCCAAAAATGACATCAAAACCCTGTGACACCCTGTTGCACATGAGAGATGTAACCATATTGCTTGGATTATAAACTCTTGGCAACCTAAAAATAATATTCGTAGGTGGGCTGATTAATCAGTGACGATCCGAGTCAGACAAACACACTTTTTGTTGGCGCTTTTATACAGCTACCAGAATTACAGTGTTTCTGCAGTTGTTCTACGTCATTAAACCACGGTTATGCTGCACGATCATGCGCAGTAGACACTGGTGCCAAGAGGAAGTGGCCCTCTAGTAGTATTTTATTGGTCCAAAACTGGCTTCAATGCTCTCCATTCAAATCAGCGGGGTGGCTTCGTCCAGTAATATACTGTCTATGGTCTTATCTTTTCAGCTAGTAATGAACCAAAGTCATATACACTATGCTGCCAAAGTTTTAAGATATTGGAAAGTCTATATAATAGTAATAAGAAGTGTATTTGTGATAATAAAAGCAGGAAACTGGAACCACATCCACAAAACATAATCCATAAAGTACTGCAGTATGAATGCGCTAATAATATTTTTTTCGTCTAAAGCCTGTTTAAAAGGACATAATTAAAAACAAAACAACAAAAAACAAGTTCAACCAACATTAACCCACATTTATTACAACGAACACAAGAGTCACTCCATACCTGCTCTACTACCAGATGCAGTTATATATACCATATAATCATCTTTACATGAGACCATTCAGAGGAACATTGTGAAGATAAATAACACCCCCTAGCTGTGAGATACAACTCAATACTGAAAGCCAATGAAATGCTGTTTGGACGTGACTCAGCTGTGTTTACAATAAGAGTATTGTTTTAATATGTCTTCCATATTTTTGGAATATGATCCAGTGTGGCTTCTCATAGCATATCAGATACTACAGTGGCTTTATTGTGGCATTTTTAATAATTACTATCATTTGGAAGCCATTTGAAATCCAAATAATGTCCACAAGCTCATGGTCTCCATATGTTTCTTTGCCAAAATAACTAGGTTCTCCATCAAACAATGCAGAGACACAGAGGTGAAAAGCACAAAACAATCAGCTGACAGACAAGAAAATTGCCCAATTTGAGTCTTGTGGGACAAAAGAGGCTGCTGACAAAGATGTAACTGAAGTCTGTGGTGTAACAAAAGCCTTTGAACGTGCTCCACCTTGCTACTCATCTCCTGTAGTGCCAGTGAGGTTTCCCCATGGTTGAATTAGTATGGCGTGCTCTGCTGGGCCATATCATACTCTGGCTAACCCTCATGAGTGTTTAAGCAAGTTGATTACAACATTAGCCCTTGCCTTTTATGCCTTTTATGAAAAGATGTAAATATTAGGATGAACAGGGGTAACTGTGAGCTGAAAGTAAATAAAGTGTTGTTTGTGGTCCTTTGCTGACCTTGGCAGGAGTCTCTGCACAGAAACAATCGACGATATCAAGTGTCGGTGAGCAGTTCAAGTTCACTGAACTGCTTCTGTTGATTTGTTTTATGACTCAAGGAAACACAAATATGTTCTCACCAGACATGATGACACTTTTCAGCTGTTTAAAATTGGTGCAGTTTTCCCACTTGCGTATGTTTCTTGAATATCCAGTAAGTGGGGTTTAATTGAGTATGCAATAACTGATCAAAGTTTGTGACCTTTTAAAAAACTAAATCTCTGTTAGCAGCTCTTGATGATACACTTTGCATTGCTGATTCCATGTTATCTAGTATACTACTACAGCTAAGTGACCAAATGTACATTGTTCAGTCCTACTCTCAGTGTTACAGTAAATGACAGATATTTCTTTAATATACTAAATGTTACTTTATTCAGAACCTGTCTCATTTGGGAAATGAAGGAAATCACCAATGCCAAGTCGGCAAGACAAGCAAATAGGCCATAGATTTTCTGTGTATTTCATCAGAATTGGTGCTGGAGTGGTTTGAACTTCAAATTATTATTACATTATGAAAGTTAAAGGGTGTTCTGAAACTTTTGTCTTTTCAGGGGTTTTGCAGAGTTCTTGCTCCTCAGGACTATATTACCTGACTTGCCAAAACATTCTAAAAAGGTTGGCAGGTTTATGTAAATCTAATATAAATCATTACGTGTATGTCTAAAGCTCTCAGTGTGTTCTTTCTCATAGCTTAAGGCTTTCAATATTTAAAGCAGTGGAAACTCCCCCCCCCCCCCCCCCCCCCCACTGGGTTAACCTTCATTAAATGAAAAACATGTATCTGAGACTGGAGTAGACTTCATTGTGGTGCTTGTTGATGCCTGCTGTGTTGCACCTTCAGTGGCTGAAGACGGACGGGTCTTCCTGGCCATTTGGGGCTTCGTCCATGCACTCTTGCAAGCAGGGACTCATTGTAATCATGACGAAATGGCAAATGCTGTAGACAATGGACAGTGTTGGCATGGGTGCCAAAGGGCAGCAGGAACGTAGGGTGGCAGCAGGTAGGTAAGATGACAGCTGTGGTTAGGCCGCAGACTGGGAGGCATATGTTACGGATCTGCTCAGGAAAACCTGCTGAGAAATGCTGAGTTTCGGGGTTTATCTCACTGATCCTTTGTGTTGATCTGAGTTCTGTAATTTCCTGGAGTTTCTTCACCAGGACTAACCTGATGTGTTGGAGTTTTTGCAGGGAGAGAAAGGAATCCAAGAAATCTGCCACCGGTGTTTTCCCCTCCGCAAACCTCTGAAACAGCAGCTGTTGGGAGAAATATCCCACTATTTGCAAACACACACACAATGGATGTTGTGTTACACCAGATTAGACATCCCCTTTGTTCTACAACAGCATGCATTTTAATTGGCTTTCTTAAATGTTCAAAAACTACAAATACAAGTATTATCTATCTGCTTTTCTCCAGATATTTGTTCTTGTTCACCACTTAAATACTGTTTTGCCAAAGGCTGTATGAAAAAAAAATAGTTGCAGGGTTATTTGCTTCAGATCTTTTAGATGTATTACAACCAGATCAGTTGTTAAGCACTATCTCATTATCTAATGTTTATTAAAGCAAATTATTAACAATATAGTGTTTTATTTTAACACTCTTTATAAAGGAAATATGTCAAAGGCTGATATATGATATATGAAATCAAACTAAAAGAAATGAATACTTACCTCACACTCCTCCTCTGCACGATTTATCTTCTTCAGGAGGCACTGCTGATAATAATGGACACTGTGCTTTCCTACTACAAAACATAACAATAAAAATCAGCAAATGTAGGAAATGGCAATGCAGATACATAAGGTAGCCAGATTAAATACAGAATACATTTCAAAACTTACCAAGTTGTTCTTGTTTGGCCTGGATGATGCTTCTAAGTTTTTCCAGTTCCTTGTACTTCATTGCAAGTAGCAACTTAGCGTCTCTAAATTGAGTTTTTTGAGAAAGACTGACTTTTGCCATTTTTTGATTTGAAAGCAGCCTCTTCTCTGCAGCCCTTTGCAGCCCCTGGAACTGCAAATTACCACATATCATTCAAGAAGCAGTGAATCCATAGAGAGTTTTGTTTGCTAGAAGAAGAATAAGTAATGTCATCAACGTAATATATGCAAACATTGTTTTTCTCTTTCAAAAATGAATTTAAATGGACCATCACTTAGTGAGCAATCTGACTTAGCTTATATAGGCTATTTATTTTTTAATTCCCACTGTCAGATACTCACCTTCTCACTACACCTGATGATATGATTTATTTTGTCTTCATCTTGCAGCAGGTTTCGCAGCTCCCCTGGTTCTCAGAGCACCAAACTGCACCGACAGAGACATGACGGCCATTCACAAAAAAGTTTGGTACCTGTTTGTTCCCGGTGCTTCCTGCTGGGGCGCAATGTGAGCTGTTAATGCTGCATTCAGGGACTGTCGGGAAAGTTACACGACTATAGGCTATGCATGGCAATACTGGGCTACTGTTAGGTTTCATGTTTATAGTGTATTTCTGGTAAGAAAATTAAGATGACGATATTCTGCAGCTATATTGATAAATGAATTCATATGAACGTTTTTTGCTTTTATAGCCTAATATACCTAACGGGCTAATTAGTAGGTAGGCTATCAATTAATGGCATTACCACAGTGCCATTGCCTGCAGTCGTACGACCATGACAGTTTGGTCACATGTTACCTAGACTTAAATGTTCAGAAATCCCAGGCAAATTGAAACCCTCATTTAATGGTAGGATTGTGGGAACAATAGTGTCTGCTGTAGCCTACAAGAGGACCTGCACAGTCTAGAAATAAATTATAACAGAGTGTAATTCCTTCTTGAATTGATCAATGAATGTCAATATATTGACCTACAAACTCATTTTTTTATTTGATTTTGATTCCCTCAGGTTAATTTTAAGTGTCATTCTCAGATAAAGTCAGAACAACAGGCGCCATTTTTACACATTTGAGTCAACTGAGGACAGAGGAGAACTTAGGCCTCCAGAAGTCCCCAAAATCTAACAGGGACTGTAAGACAGACTGTTACTTTGTGTGTGTCTATGAAGATATCTTTCATGCAAGTGTGTATGTATGTATTAGCTGTAAGCTGTAAGGTGTAACAGCAATGAACCTTACAACCTACTCCAAGAAAATGTTTAGTTGCATTTATAGGCTATGTTTCTTTGAATTTTCAATAACTTATATATATATCTTTTTTCTTTCTTTCTCATATTCCTTATTACATAATGTTACATTTCACCCCATTGAAACTAACCCAGACTTTGGGTATGGGATATGGTTAATCATATCAGAATAATACATGAAATACAGTCATTAAATTAAAAAGAAAGAATACTGGCCATGTGTATCGCCATGTGTGTCTCCTGATGTCACCACGGCGTACTCTTCAGGTGACCACTGCCTCAGAATAACTCAGTTAATCCTTAAGACGAGCGCTACAGAGCTCACACCCTGCTCAGAGTCAGTGAAAGGCCTGCACTTAGACACAGAGGACTTCTCCCTTCTGAGAGCAGCAGGAGGACATGCAGATTAAGCACAACAGCCGTCAACACAGGACACCTCCTCTGTGTGAGTAAAGTAAACCATTTACCTCATTTTCTATCTTACACAGTATTTTATTTGTGTCATATGTTAAATGGGATTTAGATGTGTATAAGCCATTTGCTACACACAGTAACTTTTGTTTATCATTTCTTATAAACATATTTAACTTTACATGTTGCAAAGGCATATATTTGTTTTTAAATGTGAGCACCTACTGTAGCAGTCTTGTGTGTTAAGTGTGTAAGTATTGTGATTTGACATGCCTGTTAAAGCCCTCTACCTTCTTACATAAGAAGCTTTTCAGTTCTCCGTACTGTATTTTAGGCAACAATGAGTCGCCCTAATAAGGAGTTGACTCTTATCTGCTGCTGCACTGTTGTCAGAGACTGAGAGTTCTCATTTCCTGTGTTTTTATTTTTAATGTTGCCCCTTTAAGTCTTTTCTGCAGTTTGTGCCATCTGCTGAAATTCAAGAAAACTGTAGTCTGGCTTGACAGCAGCCTGTTTTTTAGATTTCAAGCTGCAGTTTGGGCACTAAGAGTCTCACATGTTGATGAAAACACAACAATTCACACAAATATCATTGTGTAGGGTGCAACAAGTGACTACTTCTAATACCACTATTTAAAAAGAAAGGTTACATAGCAGTTCTAATTAAGACTGGAGCTTAAGCTTATTATTATTATTATTATTATTATTATTATATTCATTCAAGGCAAAGCGATTAAAGCACTTCTGAAATGCATCTGTGAGTAAGCTTATACTATATTGCTGGCACATTTATTGCACTGTAATTAAAGTATTAAGTTCAAAAGGAGAAAGTCAATACTAGAATTTAAGAGAACGTTTGCCTTACCAGCTGTGGTTAATATGTTTCTACCAATTATCTACAAACTCATTATACTCTGCTCTGCAAACGACTCTCTACAAAGCATAATTTCTTTCCATTCATGCCAGTATGTTGTGAAGATCACTTGCAGAGAGTTAAAACTTAACCCATCGAACTGAGAATGTTAAGTTAAATAATTTCCACACTCCTTTAAAATACTGGATTTGTCTGTTACATTTCTGTAATACAATTGAAGGCAGTGTTTTCGAAAACTGTTCAGTGTGGATGCATTCAGTGGAGCTAGACATCTACAATGTTGAGAGGCTGTTAAAAAGCTCTGCATCAACATGATGCAATAAGCTGACTTTCCGAAAAGGAACATTTGAATGTGGTTAGCTGCATTTTAAAGGTATTTTAAACACAGTACAGCTATTTTCATTTACTATGTCTAATGTTGTGCATCAAAATACCAAATTACTTGTATGTGACTTGGCAATAAACCTGATACTCAGGGTGAGTCCCAGTTTTGAGAGTGTGTATTTTGGAGTTTCCCCACAAGCATGTCAAGTGCTTGCATTACCACACGACAATAACGTGTGTTTGACCCAAAAACAGTCAGCTCAGTCAAGGGCGTTTCAAGTCTTTGCAAACCCATACTGTGATGCCCTTGGTAATTTGGCAGTGTGTGTGATTTCACGTCTGTCCACTTCTGCACCTCTACACCTTTCAGCGCAGTGATGCATCCTCTGGTGCTTCTGCCGAGCCTCCTCAGCTGTGCGTGAACCAGAACTAACCACCATGAGCTCCGACACGGTCTGCAGGGCAGAGCCGGACTCGGGGGACAACGGCGAGCTGGCAGACTTGGTGGCAGCCATGAACGTGGCCGCAAACCGCATGACCCCTCCTAATGGCTACAGGTCCGTTACTCCGAGGACCACAAACTCTCACAGGAAGATGTCGCTGCAGGAGAGGGGGAGCCGCATTTCCCGACAGCCCACCATCGAAACCAAACGTGTGTCCATTACAGGCGCCGATGTGAGGAGACTTGTGCTACAGAAATTAGTTGAATATTTTGACTTAATTCAACATGTTATTAATGAGATCCTTTACTGATTGCATTTTATTTTTATTTTCTACAGGACTGTGTCCAGCTCAACCAGTATAAATTGAATAAAGAGATTGGAAAGGTGATTACCATTACAGTAGCCTACATCCAATGAGCAAGGTGAAACAGAAGTGATGCATCTATAAAGCTTTTTTATTTTTACACCCTAGGGTTCTTATGGAGTGGTAAAACTAGCTTATAATGAAGATTCTGAACAGTACTATGTAAGTTTAAGCTCCTAAATTGCGCATTTATTATTAAAGTGTTTACATGTCAGTTTACTGTATACTGCTTTATCTCATTCATTTAGGCAATGAAAGTTGTTTCCAAGAAGAGGCTGATGAGGCTGTGTGGATTCCCGCGTGAGTGAAGATCTCCATCTCAAACAACATCTAAATATCTAGTGTTTTCACATTTTCCAATGTTCATCTGGGGCTGGTGCTGATATGTTTTTGTCTGTGTGTGTTATTATTCCAGGCCGCCTGCCTCCTCAAGGGTCAAACTCACAGCAGGATGCGTTCCCTAAAGCCATGTTGCCTCTGGAGAGAGTGTACAAGGAGATTGCCATCCTGAAGAAGCTGGACCATCCAAATGTTGTTAAACTGGTGGAGGTCAGTCAGATGACTCACCTGCTGTGAAAGCTGGAGTTTGGCATGTTTGTGTAAGGATGTGGGGATGGGATTGTTGTGATAGTTTAGTGTCAGTCTGTATGCAGCACAAAAGCAAAAGAATACAACCAAAGAGATGTTAAAAGAAAATGAATTAAAGCTCTTGCACACCCCCACAGCTGTTTTTTATTATTAGCGTAGCTAATTATGCCTCTGCTCAGATTGCTGGTGGTGAAGCTTTACTGGGAATTACAAGTTGTCACCAAATTATATCAATAAGAATAATGAAGGGTACAGGTGGACAACAGGAGACAGACGCCAATCAAGCATAATCTGAACATGCCCAAACTGTCATGAGGGGAGGGCTAATCAGCCAAAATAAGTGAAGTCACCTGTGTGGGTGATGTAGAGTTATTAAAAACCCATCAAAGTACTATAATGATAATTCCTGTAGATTAAATAACTGGACTTATTTTATATTTGTGTGAAACAGTGCACAATATGAGACTGAATTTAATGCCTCTTGCAGGTGCTTGATGATCCTGCTGAAGATGGCCTTCATATGGGTATGGATTCATTCATCCCTTTTGCAGTGACTGAATTTAGCTACTTATGTGTCATTATAAAATGGAGGAGTCATTAAAATCAAAATTTGTCCTCAAGCCTTCGAATTGATGGAAAAAGGGTATGTTTTTGTTAATTTATGTAATGTGTCACATTCCCAAACTGTGGTAGTTTGCACATTTAAATTGGCCCATTAGGTAATTATAATATACTTTACCTTTTCCTACCTTTCTCCTCTTCTCGTGTCGGTCAGTCCGGTGATGGAGGTGCCTACAGACGACCCTCTCACAGAGGAGCAGGCTCGCTTTTACTTCAGAGACGTCGTCCTGGGGATAGAGTACTGTATGTTAGGATTTAATAAATATTTAATGGAGAATCATAGCATTTAATATACTTATAACCTTTGATTTTTAAAGTTCCCATTACACATTGAGGCTTTTTCTGTGCAACTTTGGTGCCTTAAACATACAGAAAGTAATGACTTAGTAGTAAGTAAGGACTCCTAATTTGTTTAAAAAGAAAATTGTGTTTGTCCTTTACATTGCAATGGTAGCTGGTATTTCTGTCAGCAGACAATCAGCATGACTTCTTTGCATTTTCTGCATTGTCCAGTGCACTACCACAAGATCATCCACAGGGACATCAAACCCTCCAACCTGCTACTTGGGGAGGACGGTCACGTCAAGATCGCAGACTTTGGTGTGAGCAACGAGTTCGAGGGGACAGACGCCCTCCTGTCGAGCACGGCGGGGACGCCGGCCTTCATGGCCCCCGAAATGATGACTGAACATGAGCAGAGCTTCAGCGGAAAGGTGAGACAAAACATGTTCTGGTGGTAAACTGGTAAACAGACAATGTAATCACTGAAGTACTTATGTTTTAGGTGTGACTTATCTTATATGTCTGTGCTTAATTGTAAGAAATGTTTTCCAACCATCTGCTGTGAGCTTCTCAGTAATGACTGGCCCTGAAAACTATTGGAATTCAATTTGTTTCCCAGGCGTTAGACGTGTGGGCGATGGGAGTCACACTGTACTGTTTTGTCTTTGGGAAGGTAAGAAAGTTCACAGCAAAATGCATGTAGAATAATAAGCCAGCAACATTTTAATGAATTAATTTTGTCTGTTCTGTTCCAGTGCCCTTTTTATGACGACTACATCGTCTCTCTGCACAGCAAGATCAAGAGCAAACCTGTGGAGTTTCCAGAGACGTGAGCAAACATTTAGATAAGCAGATAGCTGATAAAAACAATGACATTTATTTATTCTGGCTTTTTATATAACTGGATACAGCTACAACATAACATCAGTATCAGTTCAAGCCTTACACTTCGAAGATTTCGGTAATGAAAGAATTTCTCCAGATGACAGCAAGTGACTTTGCTTTTGATACAAATGAACAGTAGCAATCGGATTAAGTAAAGGTGTTACAGTAGATGTGAATATTACAGTATTCTTAAAAGATTAGCTTCTAGCTAATTTTTTTTTCATCAGAGAGAAAAGAGTGATTAAATAAGATCATATGTTAGTGGAAGACAGTTATACTGTAATATCATGCCTGTCGATATGAGCATCAGAGGAGTCTTGTTTCATTATTGTTCCCAAATGAATCAGACTCACATACCTTTTTTCACTGCAGACATTTTCGACTTGTCACAACAATGTTGATCTGGAAAAATGTCGATCTGTTAAACTGTGACTTTTTTCACAGGCCACTGATAAGCAATGAACTGAAGGAGCTTATTGAAAGTATGCTGGATAAAAACCCTGAAACAAGAATCACCGTCCCTGAAATGAAGGTGACTGGAAACGTGACTACATCTAATTAATATATAAAAGACCATGTCTTTACTACCACATTGTGTTACCTACAATTGTGGTGTTTTTATATGTATGTGTGTTATTACAGCTCCATCCGTGGGTGACAGAGAACGGCTCTAATCCTCTTCCTCTGGAGGAGGAGCACTGCACGGCAGTCGAGGTCACTGAGGAGGAGGTGCAGAACAGCGTCAAACTCATCCCCAGCCTTTCCACTGTGGTGAGACGCACATCGCTCCCTCTCTGGTTACTATTTTACACTACCCACCATTCACAATTACAATACCTACTGCTGTTTTTGCATTTCACACATTTACCTGCTTCAGCTGGTTGCTTGTAGGCATTTTCTTAAAATCTCATTTCCTGCTGTAGTCTTAAAGATGTAAAGTGCAATGTAATTTGCAGTGTATCTACAAATCTCAAGGTATGCAATGTATCAGCATAGTTTTGACAGGATGGATGGGTGAAGGGGAGATGATTAAACAACCTATCCTAGTATTATAGTATTTGACACTATGAAGAGTAAACAGTTTACAACTTACCAGGAAGAGACATTAATGGAATTTTTAATGGCATATCATATAGAAAAATACAAGTGTATATTTTAGTGTTAATGGCAATATGGAAAAGGTTTGTATTTTCATTCAGACTCTCTCTGATGTCCACTTCAGATTCTGGTGAAGTCTATGCTGAGGAAGCGGTCTTTCAGTAATCCCTTTGAGTGTCAGGGCCGACGGGCGGAGAGGTCCATGTCTGCCCCTGGAGGTCTTCTTACGTAAGTAGCCTGCTCAGCAAATCCTTCATGCTCCGCTCTGCCGAACTGCCAGCTCTGCGATTAGGCCTCTAACAAAACAAAGCAGCGAGCAGATGCTTGAATAAAAATAGATCAGTCACTTACATACTTTATATGTGCAGTGTGTCTCACACATTTGAATATCTATACCATATACCATATCTAGACCATTAATCTTTGAATACTGGCTAGCTCTTCTAAACTGTATTTGTTTAGTTTTGGTCCTTAAATTAGCAGCACACTCTGGGCGATAAATGCATTTATCCTCTCCTGATAAACTAAATGGAAGCCCCTGTGGCAGCAGTAATGGCTGCACGTCTTTTGTTTTCCATTAACAAGCCAGTCCTGTCAGTTGGGGGCCTCTGGCACAGCTAAATACACCTTCATGTGAAGAGATGTGGAGCTGCAGCTATATCCTCCTCCTCACATGCCCAGGCACCACCGTCAGTACTACAGCGCTGCACCCTCCCAAACAGTGAAATGACACATATGATATGTAAACGTTGAATTCTTAAAAAACACTTAAATATTAAAGAGTGGCTTAAAGAGAGCGGCTGTAATTAAAAGTAAATATTTCCCAATTTGAAAGGTGTAGTTTGGCTCTATAGTTGTCTTAAAGAAGAAGATCAAAATGTTTTAATTTGATCTTCTTGGAGGGATGATGTGGCATTGTGTTCCAGAGATTAAATATTACACTTTTCTGCCTGCAGTAATAAGGACAGTTCAATTTAGGGATAGAATTTATATTTAAATCTGATCTCTGATCTGATTTTTATGAGGCTGTCCTGTGTGGAGACCCAAAGTGTTCAATATTAAATAAACAAGAATGAAATACTTAATCATGAATGAACACAGACAAAATATGTGATATAACCATGAAATGGCTAAATAATCTAATACATTTTTAAAACTAAGCTCATTATTATTATTATTCATCTAGCTTCTATATACAGTAACAGAGTTTATTGCAGGAACATCCTGTCCCAAAACACTGCAGAAAAACTGGTCCACGCATTTATTACTTCCAGGCTTGACTATTGCAATTCTTTACTAGCAGGCAGCACAATTAAGTTTCTTAAGCCTCTCCAGCTGATCCAGAATGCAGCAGCATGTTTTTTGTCAAGAGTCAATATCAGAGAGCATATTTCTCCAGTTGTAGCTTCCTGCACTGGCTCCCTGTGAAATATAGAATAGATTTTAAAATTCTTCTACTTATCTACCAAGCCTTAAATGGCCTGGCACCATCATACCTTAAAGAACTCCTTATAGCTTACTGCCCCAACAGAGCACTCCGCTTTCAAAATACAGGGCTGCTTATGGTGCCTTATGTAACTAAGGTTAGAGGGGGAGCCAGAGCATTTAGTTATCAAGCGCCTCTACTATGGAGCCAGGCCCCAATTTGGGTTGGGGAATCGGACAACATCACCACTTTTAAGGCTAGACTTAAGACTTTTCTGTTTAATAAAGCTTTTAGTTAGGGCAGGATTGAACAAACTTTAAATGATTTTAAAGTTTTTTAAAGCATTTTATTTTGCTGATTTTATTCTCATTGTATTTTATCATGTGTTTTTTTACATGCATTCTGTATTTTATTTTATTTTCATTTTATTTAATTTCAATGCATTTTTTAAAGTATATTGGGACCATGTCTTTTGGTGATTTTGCACTTTAAATAAACTTGATTGATTTGTTTTCCCATTACAGCAGGTGCAGAGCAGATTTAGTAATGTGATTGGTTTAGAGCAGCTAATCACATAACTTGCTCTGCTCTGTTTGTCTTAATTAACAGACACAAACTTTGTAACAAAACAAAGTTTGATGACTTAAAACATTTCGTTGGGAAAATTGAAAATATTGTGAAATCAAAAATATTTGTTGTAAAAATGAGGATTGGAAAGAAAATCTGGCATAATTTAAAACAAGATGGATGAAATGTTTTAAATTTCAAAAACTCATTGCATATTCTCATTGGACACTTAAATATTAAATATTTTGTCTATTTATTTCATAATATATTTATATTTAATGTTGAACACTTTGGGTCTACATGTTGCAACACAATAAACATCATCATATGGGGCCACAATAATAAAAATGATTACAGGAAAAATTACATATTTCCTGATGGAAGCTTAAACTAATTGACACATTGGGAAATTGCCTTATTCACTTTCTTGCTGAGAGCTAGATAAGAAGATTTTTTTTTTAGCTTAGTTTAGCATAAACGAGAAGGGTCCAGCTGCAGCCCGCAGACAAACCACACAAACAAAGTTGAACTTCCATATATGGTTCGTCCCACAAGCCACCGCGCACAAAACGTGATGACGTTTATCTCGGCCGTTCGGCCCACGCAGAGCCGTTAAAAAAAAAGAGCCGATAAATAAGTGTCAACGTACCAATCAGTGTACATTATGCTATAATTATAAAATATTATTATAATATATTAATACTGTAAATATGTATTTATAATAGCATAATGATGAGTTTCACAAACCAAGAATATTCTGTACATCACGAGTCAGATGTATCTTGATATAGGTTAAAACTTTACAACATTACTGAGAATTCAATGATAGAATAGCGTTACGAACATTGACACTCGTTCAGCGGTTGCTGTACATGTCTGCTGTGTTGGCTGCAGTGGTCTGTGTGACTGGACCGGACTGGACCTGGGGGAGCTAACCGGAGCTAGCTGGCTAACTATTCCTGACAGCCCCCCGAAGTCTCTTACTCTAACCCTAACCATCACAGGGTGTGTGCCCAAAGTTATTGATTGTATGCATCAACTGGTTAACGTTAACCCTACAGTGGCGCACATCGGCCGCCAGCACATAGAGCTAACCTCCATTGTGTTGCTGTGCAGCCTCCGCCAATGTTACTGCAGCTATATTGACAGCATAGACTGTATATAAAAATTGACACCCGCCGGCACCATGGTCGGCACTTGTCAACTCCGAAAACGTTTGAACACATTTTCGATTCGCCGTCAATTTTCGTCAGACTGCCGATATTCGACATCTTCACAGTTGATTTCTCGCCTCAAAACTTCTCAGAAGTGTATTTAAAGTTTGTTGTTGGCCTCTAAAGAATAAAACGGTTAACATTAGGATCTATACTGTACGTGAGCCGAGATTAACCCTTACACGTCATCACGTTTTGTGTGCGGTGTCTTCTGGGACAAACCATATTTGGAAGTTCAACTTCAGGTCTGCCGGCTGCAGCTGGATATACTTGAGGGAAACAGCTAACGTTAGCCTGACTCTGTCCAAAGGTAAGTCAGCCTACCTGTTGGCACCTCTAAAGCTCACTAACATGTTAGTGTAAAAGTGTCAAAACAATAATGTGTTTTTTAGTTTTTAACCCCCGTAAAACTTCTACACTCACATGAACTATAATGTGTTAATAGTGAGCTTTAGAGGTGCTGGTTGGTGGCTATGCTTTGATTGAGGACGGCTAGCCTGTTTACGGTTTTTATGCTAAGCTAAGCTAATCGGCTACTGGCTTCATATTTATCTAGCTCTCTGCAAAAAAAAGCAAATATACTTTTTTCCCCTAAATGTCTGACCTTTAAACTGCTACAGTACTGCTACAATAAAATCTGTGTTTATCATTAACTGTGTTGCAAACTAATAAGATTATAAATTCTGGCCTCTTACATTACATCTCCTTCTTTCAGTGGTTGTTGGGGCTCATTGGGGTCAACACCTCAGCCTCATCCTTCCTTGAGGTAAATTTTATAAAAGCATTTTGGTTGAGCTCATGCGCTTCATTCACAGCATAGCTCATCAGTTGTTTGTTCAACCTTTAAGAGGATTTAAGAGAGGCAAGACAACACAAAGCTCTCAGCAACAAGCTGTACCTTAAAATAAATGGACACACCCAGTTGTTGTTGGCTGGTATGTGTCCTTCTCTTGTGTCCTCTTGAGGTTGATGCGGGTAAAAGGTGATGAGCTGTGCTGTGGAGGACTTGTACTCTTACATTGACATTTTTAGTCTAGTGTCAACCCCTCTCCCTCCATCACTTTTCCTCCACATCATATGCAATCTCACTTAGTACCTTCAACAACATGATCGAGTGTTTGTCACCTGCAGGAAAGTCAGCAACGAGGGGAGCAGAGATGGAGAATTGGAGGACTTGTATGAAGACGATACATTTACCGAGAGTACAGATTAAATTGACACCTGCATAAAGATTAAAAACAAAGAGCGTGAAGAAATTTTTTTTTCTACCTTTTGTTTGTCTCTTTCCTATTTCTCTCCTAATTTTTGCTTTTGCTTCCTGCTTGCAGGCTTACATGCTTAAAAATGTTTCTCACTCAAGTCCATAACACTGATAATTCTCTGATATATTGAATATTATAAACTTATGGATAGTGCATTAAATACTTGATTGTTTTCTGTTTTGTTCATGTTTAAATTACAGATGACATGACTAATGACTAATACTTCGTTCATGAATGTAACTTTGGATTGTTGTAAATGTAAATATGCTCCATGAAGAAGATATTTTTACATTTTCCTACAGCTGTTGAAGATAATAAAAGGTCTAATTTTAAACAAAGACTTTGAGTGAATATTATACCAACCACCATAGCAGTTTTGTTGTGGTGAATGTAAAACATAAGATGGAAACCTTGTGACTTGTTTTCTCTTTGTTCTATCCTTTGTTTGCGTCTGTGTTAATTCCACATTCAACAAAGTCTTTATGCTTTTCTTTTTTGTATGCCTTTAAAGCTTCAGTGTGTAAGATTTAGTGGCATCTAGTGGTGAGGGTTGTGAATTGCAACATTCTGTCCACTCTACCACTGCCACCTAACCTTTCAAAGAAGGTAGGACAACTACAGTGTTTAACACAGCACAAAAGGGGTCTCTTCTGAGACAGCAGAGGGTGGCCAGTCAAGAAGTTAGGTTTCTTTAGGTATATTTATTAAGAAATTATATTTACTTAATTATTCAGTAAAACCAGATATTATTGCGACTTTGCCACTGACAGACAACATGGAAAATGTAAGCCAATAGTGTGAAACACTGTCACTGTTTCTGCACCACAGTCCATTATAAACCACATATTAAATAAAGTTTATACAAACACTGACAAGGGAAACATTAATTCTCTCTGTGATTATGGACCCTCGCCAAAACTGCCCGCCAACAATAATATCTGGCCCACTGCCAGATTATGTTGCTTGAATAGCGGCAAAAAAATATAAATAAATAAATACTTTGATAGCTCTGCTTAAAAATAGATCTCAGTCATGACAGCAACAGTTACTCATATAATCACTTCCTCTTTAGTGGTTTTGACTACAAAATAAAAGAAAAAGAGAAAGCTTGTTTATTGCAATCTATTTTAAATTGTACTGAGCTTTTACTGTGAAAAACTCTGAACTACATTAAAAGAGTCCGCTTGATACACCTCTGAAAGAGTCCTGCACCTTAACAACTGAGCTAACCAAACAACATACCTCAGCGATGTAAAATTATGGCTTATATTCTCATCCATATTGCTCTGATTAAAAACCTATTTGCAGACCCCTGCAGTATATTATTACTACTTCTTCTTTTTCTAATGTATATTCAACGTAGTGATGAGTGTCTGCACTGCCTGAATTCTACCAGAAGTAGAATAAGAAGAACTTAGTGACGAAACCATAGACTGTATATAGAAACGCAGCTACTGTAGAAACATGGTGATGCAACGTGGGTCCATGGAAGGGGAGACCCGCCGTTATGTAGATATAAATGGCTCATTCTAAGGTAATAAAAACATAATGGTTTATTATATAAGGTCTTCATACACCACTGAAAACATAATTATGGATCTTATATTGCATTTCTGTTGATAGATCCTCAGAAATATCACACACTGAACCTTTAAATGTTTAGCCATAATAACATTTAAGAAATGTCTTTATTGATATTTTAATTCATGCATAAATACACTCCACATTGCCATGTATTGTAGTCAGATATTTAAAGATGTTCTGCAGCCACACAGACAATCTGAAATCCCTTAACTCACTCTCAAACTATCAGCCTGTTTTTATTTTTAAAACCCCTTTCAGTATCAAGTGCACTTTGTTTTCCAGACCATTAGAGGGCAGCATTGTTTTGCAAGTAAAGCGATAAACCATAAACCAGGTGGAGTTTGAGCCCTTGTTATAATCACAAATTACCTGAGGCTTTTATATAAAGCCACTTACAATTGCTATACTGTATACATCAGAGTTTGCATGCTTCTGAAGCAACTAGGGGGTTAAGTGTCTTGCTTAGGGACACATTGGTGGATGTGTCACAATGAGGAATTAAACCCTTTAGTGTGAGGTATCTCACACTAAAGGTGTTAACCTACCCTTCTGAAGTGCCCTTGAGCAAGAAACTTGGCCATTTCCAGCTTCAGGCACACTGCTCTGACAAATTTCTTCTTCACAACAATTAAACTATGTTCAAAAACATTTTACACCATTAAATTTGATTAAACTTCAGTCAAACATCATCTTGCAGCTTATTTTCACACTCTTGGTTCAGTATGACTTGGTTCAATATGACTCTACTTAAAATGTAAGGGGCAGCTGTGGTCGTCCACTAACCGGAGGTTCGCTGGTTCCGGTCTGCATGTCAACATGTCCTTGGCCAAGACACTGAACCCCAAATTGCTCCCAGTGGCTGTGCTGTCGGTGTGTGAAAGTGTGTGAGTTAATTTATGTTTCTGATGACAAATGTAATGTGATGCAGTGTAAAGCACTTTGAGTGGTTGAAAAGACTAAAAAGGCCCAATACCAATACAGATCACTTACCAATGTTGCTTCAGCAACACATTAGCAGGCAGCTAGTATTGTGGCTAGCTTGATTAGCAGTAAGAAAAACTCAATTCTAGCTGCTAAATCACAAATCAACAATAACAAAACAGCTGTAATAAACTATACCTGTACTGGTTGCTACTAGCAGCACCATGTTAAACTGAAACCAACTGCTGGTGGCAGAATAATGATAACATTATGTAACTACATACTGTGCTGTATATATATATATGCAAACATCTTCCCATTTCTCATGTCTCCTGGAAAATACGAGGAGAATATGAAAGATTAATTTATTCATGTTGTTTTTTCACAAGGATAATATTTAATGTGTTATATTTTCCTGATATTCTAAGCTTTATAATAGATTGAAACAATTTGCAACTACCAGGCCAACAACAAGCTTTAAGATTTATCAGGGTATGGTGGCCAACACACGACCTGTCCAGGGTGTACCCCGCCTTTCGCCCGATGTCAGCTGGGATTGGCTCCAGCCTCCCGCGACCCTGTATGCAGGATAAGCAGTTGACGATGGGTGGATGGATGGATGGAAGGATGGTGGCCAAAACCATGAAACTTTCCCGCATTCAGACCTTACAAACTGTATACCAAAACAGCTGTGAGGCAAAAGTCTCTAAGAAATTAGTGCCACTTCTAGTCACCGTCCCACTGATGAGCACAAATTTCAGGTTTATCAAAGAGAGCTGTGGATAGGCCTACACTATTGATTTTGTAGAGGCAGGCTTTATTAATGTAAACCTACAGGTCCAAACAGAGGACAGCATGCTGCAGAGTGGGCCTGAAGGTTTCTCTGGAGGTGTGTTTAGTAGGTGGAGCAATATCTCTGATGATATGAGACAGAACAATGCAATGTGGAAAAGAGACAATGGCAACAAACACTGAGTAAAGACAAGAAGCTTTAGATGTATAAATAAATCTTTTTTTTAGCTGGTACGGCTGAGTGAATCTGTGTGATGCAGATGAAGAGAAAACAGATTAACATGTAAAGAACATGTTTGTTGTTGAACAAAGGAAGAGCAAAATTGGTTTTGCTAATAAGAGAATACCAAAAATCAAACACAATTAAATTTACTTATAACTAGGCTACCTCTGGAAAAAACCCTCTAATAAATAATATAAACAGGTGTACATTCAATCCAGGCCAATGTTTACTTCCTAAAAAAAATTAACTGGCAACAACATTTCCATAAAGATGGACCATCACATGGGAAAATGATCATAAAATCAACTTTAAAGGAAAATTTTCACATTTTTACATTCTTGCAGGGAGTTAGATGAGAAGTGTAATACCACTCTCAAGTTTGTACGATTAACATGAAGCTACAGTTAGCTTAGCTTAGCATAAGGACTGGAATCAGGGGAAAGCAGCTAGCCTTGCTCTGTCTGAAGGTAAAACAAAATTCCCTCCTTAAGACCACGTTTTGTTTTTTCACAACTGTTTTTGTACAAGTGAAACAAATAAGATCATTATGAAACTTTAGAGGTGAGTGGAAGGCAGATTTTGTTACATTTCAACAGAGCGAGGCTAGCTGTTTCCCCCCTAACAGTCTCCATGCTCCTGTCTCATATTTACTGTACAGTCATAGGGGTATTGATCTTCTCTTGTCACTCTCTGTGAGTAGCGAATAAATGTATTTCCCAAAATTTCAAAGCCAAAAAGCCAAACCCGCTTTATGAATGCTTCATATCATATATTTTTATCAAAGTGCATTATAGATTGTGCAAAGTTTGATATATCATTCAGGATTGGCATTAAATTATTACTAATATCTGATCATTTGGAGACATATTGTGTGGAAGTAGTAGGGTGCTACTACTACTTCCACTTCTATCACAGATAAACATCCTATTTCCTTGAGTGGCCTAGAGGACAAAACAGTCTAAAAAGAATATGAAATTGAATAGAATAAACTACATCAACTCTCATGTTACATTTTTGGCGTCTGCTGCTCTGGAAATATGTTGAAATAAAATTTAAAAAAACAATTAAGCCTCTGCAGACTGAAATGCTTCATGAGACCATTTGTATTCCTGCAGTCGGCCCATTTTTCTGCCGTTGCAGTCATGTGAAGACCAAAGAGGACGTTTCTGAGCAAAGATTTCTGTAGAAACAGTTGCCATGCAACAGCACAATACGGCGCTCATACAGAGTAGTAACTTCACTGTATGACTGCTCTTTTTCCTGAGCTCACTGCATTAGTAGTAATGCAACAATCCATTCTATTCTACTGTATTTGGTTTGGTAAATAAATAATAAGGTCTTTATATTTTGGGCTGTAACTGTGGTGTCATTGTTTCGTGGGTGCGCAGGGGAAACTTTGCCTCAGCATCTGGTCCCCCACCCAGTCTCCTTTCAGTTTCCACATCCAGAGCCAGCTGCAGTTCAGCCTCAGATATTTAGCTTAACACTGACCCTTGGTTCTCACTGGTCACCCTGTATTGCTGTCATCACACTGTGTTTCACCCCCCCCCCCACTCCCCCCTTCCCTTTCTCTCACTGCCTGTTATTCACCACCACTGACCCCTCTGGCCCACTGTCAGCTGAACTGTACATCTCCTCAAGGCTGCAAAGTGGGGGAAGGTTTGTCTTTTTTCTTCTTCTCTTCTTTTTCCCTGAACTGTTGGGAATACCCTGTGCCCACATACACGATGAGTCACCAGCTCAGACAGCAGGCAGAACCACAAACCCTGGAAGGTATAATTTGTCAACCAGTTGGCACC